AGGCTGGAAATGGATGGGGCACTTTTGAGTCTTATTGCATCTTCGAAAGTTTGTCGGTTGTCTGCTAGGCCCTATTTTTCTCTTCGCAGTCAGTATCTATCTCGAAACGGGTATTTTAGAGTGAAAACTGTACTCAGCCCCAAATGGTTTCAGGAACATTTGACGATTAGTATTTCATTTCGTTGTGCAATCTGGGGTCTACCGATTGTATCGAATATTAACTTGCTTTGGGTCATAATATTCTACCAAGATATGTACTAATGCTAGTTGACAGGAAACTTCCTACAACTGGTTCATTTCGGTGTCTTCAAGAAGCAGCTGGTTTCTGTGTGGAAGTCATGCCTTCCAGCACGAGTGTCAAGACCAGTCTGGTCTGCAACCAACCAGCCACCAGCACTTCTGAAACGCAAGTACCACAGTCATCAGATTCGCATTATCCGTTGTTATACAAACTCATTTCAGTAGATTCTTCTTCGGCATCCTTCGGCCATTTGAGGCTGTCACCACCGCCGAAGCTCGAGGCAATGCAACCGGAAAGTGGCTCGCTGGAGGAGACAGAAGCCCAATCACATCGACTCTACCGAAAGAGTGTCCTGTGGAATTTGCCCCCACAAAGCGCCTCGCCGGTTGAAGAGAGCCCATCCTATTCGGCAGCTCCGAGTCTACGCATGAAACTGAATATAGTTAAGGTTAGTAAGCCCTGATCTGCGTAAAATGAGTTTTTACTTGTCTTCCCTTAAGATTATGTTCTATGCTAAGCCTGCTATGAGCTGATGCTTCCTGCAATCGAGGTTAGAATTAGTTTATTTGTCGAAAATATCTTACATTTCGAGTAAAAGTGTTTGGTAAAGAGATTCTGACGTCGGTCCCACCAGAAGACGATGGCGGATTCCTCTTGACTTTACTGGAACATTCATGCTGACGCAGTATCCGAGGCAATCTTCTTCGATTCCGATGAAAAGGTGCTAAGCTTTCGTCCGTCATGTGACGAACAACATCAGAGCATCGAGGGTATCATCGTCACAACCAAATTCAAGCTAACGAGTCAAGAAAACTCACCGGCAAATCCTTAAAAAGTGGTATCGATGCCTAGTTACTATTCATATCTACAAAAAATAGCTTGTTCAACCGAGGCAAAAGTTGAGGTTTATTAAAAAGCAAGTGATTAAAATGTTGGGTTTCGAGGAATCTCTTGTTTCTCAATTATTGAGCTTACTTCCATTTCGAGTGAAAGTGTTAGATGGAGTGATTCGAATATCTGTTCCACCAGAGGACGACGGCGGATTCCTCTTGACTTTACTGGAACATTCATGCTGAGGCTGTTTCCGAGGCAATCTGCTTAGAGTCCGGTAAAAAGGTGCTACGCTTTCGTCTGTCATGTGACGAACATCATAAGATCTAGGTATCATCGTCTCAACAAGATTGAAGCCAACGAGTCAAGAAAACTCACCGGCAACTCCCTAAAAAGTGGTATCGAAGCCTAGTTACTATTCATATCTACAAAAAATAGCTTGTTCAACC